TTTTTTTTTTTTTTTTTTTTTTTTTTTTTTTTTTTTTTTTTTTTTTTTTTTTTTTTTTTTTTAAGAATATCAAGTTTATAATACTATTATATATCTGCAAGTATATTCTGAGCACCCAAGGTAGGCACTCTTAGCTGTAGGCAGCTATCTACACAACTCACAAGGCTGCCTGCTGTGCGGCCCTATCCGCTGCAAGCCGCGACCTATTTACTGCGGGTACAGCAGCCTAGCTGCCCAGTGAACCCACTATAGCAGCCTCTGTTCCTTTCACTGCCGCGACCTGCATAATCAGCCACGTCATAATGGCCACTCAACCAGCGCCCTTTGGCCCATGTGCTTTGCGCCGCGCTAGCCATCGTCATCCCCCTTCAACCTGCCTCGGGGCTGCACCGCGCAGCCTTGCATGAATCAAGCTCCATGGCGCCGCTGACGAGCATCTCAGGCGAGCGCCAGCCGTTTTCACTCCTCCACACACGTCCCTCTTGATGCTCGTCTTGTCCGCACCCTCGCATTCATGGAGCATACACTCGGCTCTGCCTGTCGCCTTCGTCCAACGCCAGACGCGGATAAGGAGGACGGAGCCCCCTGCATCAAGGCTCAGTTCTTCTATACGTCCCTGTTCCCCATTGACGATCCGCTGTCGAGCAGCGCTCCTGCTGGCGGTGCAGAATCGAAATCGAAAGCGCCCCTTCGCCCGTTCTCCCAGGACGACAACGATGTGCTCCAGCAGGCCTGGCTGGGCCTGACGTCGGAGAGCCACCGGATCCAGCATGACACCGTCAGAAGCGGTCGAGAACCTGCCCCAGCAACGGTCAAGTCTGACGTGGAACGACGCGACCAAATCATACGGGAACTGGCCTCGAGGCATCTTCGCATCCACCAGGCCAACCAGCAGACACAAGCTTCCACGACGCAAGCGACCGAGGCACTCCCCGAAACACTGCTTACAGCCTGCTGCCCTAAACTCGCCGCCGACATCCTAGAAGAGCTTGATACGCAATTTTGTGCTTTAGTGAGAAAGTCGAATCAGCGTTTTACTGTCGATGAGGTCGTAAAGGATATCATTGCCGTCATGAACCAGCGTCACGAGCCGAGAAACGTCGCTAGCAGTCTCCGGGATATCCCCATACGCCACCCTCTGTTGACTCGTGATAGAGAGGCCAGCATCTCTACTGGTCGCGCTTCTCCTTCGGATAGTGCTGTATCATCATCCTTTGGAGAGCACATGAATCTGAAACCTCGTAGTGACTCTTACAAGCAAGCATCGGGTTTCCCCCAGGAGCGTATTCTGCCTGATGCATCTCGCGCTGCTCAAACGTCACAGAATCGGCTGTCTCGAGAGCTTAAAATATCTGGACTAGTCCCTACAACTGATGATGGCATTTCCGGAAGACCATTTGTGAGGGCATTGGAGACTGAAGAGCAACCACAGCAGATGGTGGAAGCAAAACAGCAACGTAGTGATGTTCAAACTTTAGAAACGCCGCAGATCCACTACAAAGCGGCTGAGGGGAACGATGAAGTAGCAACAGAGCCGTTAACTCGAATAGAGGACACCACTCCGGATCTTGACGAGGAAGACACGGATGTCGTAGTTGGACTGGCTAGATTGCACAAGGTATCATTGCACACATTACAGATGAAGCCCATATACTGGTCGCCAGTTAACGACATCGCCATTGTAACGAGAGGCACATGGTTTTACAAGTATGTTCTCCGCTGTCTATTCATTCTTTGAGTTACTAACTCGCCTCGCAGAGATACCATGCTACCGGTTCCCCCAGCAGTTGCGAATCAGCTAGAAGCCGGATACCAGGAACTGCGTCCTTGGGCGGAAACTTGGCGTGACGAAGTACGGTGTGCTATTGAAGTTGGGGCCTCGGGAGAGGAAAAGGTGTCTCATCGACTATGGCCGACTGAAGGCGATGGACAGTATCGGAATTCCCCCATACCAACAGAGCCTGCTATTTCCGCACATCCGTTTTGCGCGGCACACTGCTTTCAAGGCGAGGCTGCGACGGAAGGCTCCCTCGAGCCGCGGCAAGTAGACAACGAGGCTTCCGAGAATGCACAGCAACGCCCCTACTCTAGCTACAGTGTCCTATACAAGGATCAAACAAAGGCCTTCTTACTAAAGCCGAGCTTACAGCCATCTGCCTATTACGGTAGACGGCCTCTTCAAAGGATCATGAGAGGCGGGACCGTGGGCATTCCGGTGGTCCGAGGATTTGATAGACTGAGATGGGAACGCATGCACCGTGGGAAGCAGGTGCAACATGCCAAACCTGCATCTCATGCCACCTCCGATGGCAGTCCACGGGAAACCTGCCCTGCATGCGAAGCGGATAAAGACCGCAGTAAGGTGACAGACTTGGTGCTGGTAGCCCACGGAATTGGCCAAAAGATAGCTGAGAGGGTTGAAAGCTATCACTTTACACACGCCGTCAATAGCTTCCGTCGAATGGTGGACAGCGAGTTTCAAAACCCGGCGGTGCAAGAAGTCCTGGATAACAGCCAGAGCAGACTCATGGTTTTGCCACTCAACTGGAGAATTGGGCTATCCTTTGAAGATGGCGGCCATCTTCAGACGGGAATGGAGACGAATGATTCGGCTGCAGCACAGGCCTTTGGTCTGAAGGACATTGAGCCCAGCACCATTCCCGCGATAAGGAGCATGATATCGGATGTCATGTTCGATATACCCTTCTACATGTCTCACCACAAGGGAAAGATGATTGCAGCTCTAGTCAAGGAGGCGAACCGAGTATACCGTCTGTGGTGTAAGAACAACCCCGGGTTTGCCGAAAATGGACGTGTCCATCTGGTTGCTCATTCTCTCGGTAGTGTCATGGCGGTAGAAGTCTTGTCACGGCAGCCAACGGATCTGCCACCGCTTGATCTTTTACGGCCAGAGCCAGAAACCAGATTCTTCGAGTTCGATACGAGGAACCTCTTCCTGATGGGAAGTCCCACTGGATTCTTCTTATTGCTCGAGCGAGGAGCTCTTACACCACGACGTGGACGCGTCAAACCTGGCATGGATGAAAACGAGGTTAAGACCGAAAATATCGGTGGTGAGATTGGAATGTTTGGGTGCTTGGCCGTCGACAATATCTACAATATTCTTGCCAAAGAGGACCCCATTGCCTACTTGCTCAATGGGACGGTAGATCCGGCATATGCGGCCAGCCTCAAAACAGCATATGTGCCTACTTCTTCGGCTTCGTTTCTGAAAACTGTTGGCGATGCCATGCGTACCGTTGTCATGGGTATGGCTGGCAATCCTACCACATCCACGACTGGTGATGGCCGCCCATCGACTGTGCGGCTGCCCTCTCAGCTAGAACTTGAAGTCCATGACTTCACCAGAGAGGAAATTGCCGAGAAGAAGGCCTTTCTTCTTAATGATAACGGCCAGATCGACTGGTTTATCCGATCTGGTGGCGGTCCGCTGGAGATTCAGTATTTGAATATGCTGAGCGCTCATAGTAGCTACTGGAGTAATACGGACTTTATCCGAATGTTGTGCATTGAGATTGGCAGGAAACCGGGCAGAGCGAACACGTTGCCTGCTATGAGAGCTGTCAAAGCCTCTAGGCGCATTATACCCACCACGAGATGAGTCGACTGAGTTGGCACGTTATACATGTGCTGTGATACCCCCCCACTCTAGCTGTCTATTATCTTTTTGCGTTGGTGCTACCTATTGCGGGTATACTTTCTAAATATTTTTACCATTTTGCAGGATTTCAGTGGTTTAGAATGGAAAAGTCGTGATGGATTTAGAGACTACCTATGGTAAAAGATATGATATGATGGATTGTACTGACGTAATGAATAACTAGCGAATGATTAATGTATAGACTTATTATAACCCAGATTCCAAGAAAGAAGGAAAGAAAGATAGATAGAAAAGGCAATTAGCCAGAGAATCAGACATCTCACCCTCTAACCGCTCTGCACGGTCCGAACTCCTTAGAAGCCTTCCAACTCCATCATTTCTTGATCAATGTCTTCATAATCAGATTCATACGTAGTAGTCATGTTTTCATTAGCGGCTGCTCGTGAATTTGCCATGGCCGGAGGGGGTTCATCCCCCCTTTCTTCTTCCACCTTTCTCTGGTGTTGCAACAGGTCTTCGTACCCCCAGGTACTGATGCCTTCCTGGTCTTTACTCCGGAATGGTTGCGCCATTGTCTTCAAAAATCGTCGAGCACTACTAACCGCCATATCGGTACTCAGATTCGTATCGGCATCCGACAAGCCCTGGTTGATCCATTTAGGTAGCTGGCTCCTCTTCTTCTGGAAACGTCGATCGGCCAGCACCATGACTCCATAGTCGTCTTTGCCTCTCAAGACACGGCCTAGGCACTGGGCAGCGTGGCGCATGGCGTCAAAGGACAAGAAATCGTTTTCTTTAATGCGATATGTTTCTCGCAAAAACTCAAGCCTTGCTTTCAGGATTCTTGATTCTGTGTACTGAAACGGAACGCCGATACAGAGCACGGTTCGGCCGTATTGGTGATCGAAATCGATACCCTCTGATACTTTCCCGCGAGCGACGCAAAGTAGAATTGCTCCTCTTCCATTGCAACAGGCAGTTCGGTATGTTTCTAGGGCCAGTGATGTTTCTTGCGCATCGGGAGTTTCCACCAGGATCAGTTTATACTTCCAAACCTCGTCGAGAATGCCCATGCCCTGCCACATGCTAATGATGGATTCCATGTATAGATATGACGGGAAGAAGACAACCAGGCCGTCAGGGGTAATTTTGGCAAATTCTGTGAGGAGATTGCCGTAGTTTCGAACAACACTGGGTTCATTTCGAACCTGAAAGCTGGATGAGACCGAAGCCTGGTCGCTTCCGCGAGTTACAATCATCGGAAGGAAAGATCTCCGCGCAAGCGTCATACTATATGACTCTTGTATTACCGTAGCGAAATCCAGCATTTTAGGATACATTTCAAGTGGCGAGATAGTACCAGAGGTTATGATCACCGAGTAGAACCTTTCAAATACAGGTCGGATGGCGATGGCGGCGTCAAGGCAGGTAAAGTGAAGAGTGGGATTTGGGACTTCGGCGGTATCGGATTCGTATGGCTCTAATATGAGCAAGAAACCCTTCTCATATGTCGCAACGAGAGTAGCGAATGTTGCTACTTCTTGGAGAGCTTGGTAGTCTTCAATATTCATAAGCTCAAGGGTCCTGACCAGCGACGTTAACCGTTCGGCACAAAATCGCAACGGCTTCCTCTCGATGAAAGTATGTTCTTTCAAGTGAGCCAAAAATGATAATGGTGTTTCCGAGATGACTTGACGGACTTTCATTCTCGTCTAAGGTGAAATAAATCAGTGAGGATGAACACACAGAAATAAATACGAAATACTGAACTGACCTTGAGATATTCAAGAAATCTTTTCAAAAAGGCTACAAAATGCTCGGCTCGCCTGATATTTCCAGGAACAGCTTCTTTCAGAAGATCATCGGGCAGAGCTATGATATTGTGTTGGTTATTTTATGATGCATGATAAATAATAATCCAACCTGGAAACGGCGTCAATTTACCTGGATTGGCCATGAAGGCATCTTCCTGCCTTGACTCATCAGCTTCCCGAAGCCCTTGAACAAGCTTTTCGTATTCATTCTGAAGCTGCTCTTGATCGGTCTCTCTCATCTCAGCAATTCGTCGCTCTAGGTGCTGTGCGCTGCGAGTAGCTTTGCGTATTGAGTCTTCAGTGATGTCGGTACTAAGTGACTCGATGCAGACGTTGTCAATGTTGTGAGCTTCGTCAAAGACTACAATACAATCCTTGGAGAAGTCTTTCGTTACACGCTCAGCAATCTTTGGATCGAGGAGATAGTGATATGAGAAGATGACAACATTACAATATTGCATCTATTTGCCAATGTCAGAAGCAATTCTTGCAGAATGGATGTCAAAATAGGGCAGTACCATGCGCCGTGCAGTAAAATATGGACACTGCTTGTGCTCTTCTCCATACTTTAGGAGCGCATCAAATGACCATACGCCGTTGGGTATCAAGTTATGCGGTTCAAGGAGATCAAGATTCTGAACTACGTTAGTTTGGGGTTCATCGATTCAGCATGTCAACAAAAACAACAAAACAACAAAAACAACGGACATACATCGTGATAGACGCAGACATCCACATTTTCACCTCGATCTTTCTTTTCTTTGACAAAGCCTGCAGTCAAACTTCTGCAACGTGCATCAACAACCGAGCCACTTTTTTCCCTTTTGACAGAGGGATGAAGGCACAAGTTCTTTCGACTTGTTAGACCAAGGCCGCGAAACTCTTCTTCATAGCCCAACTGTTCGGCGCGATACTTCATCAGAGATTGCAGCTCGACTAAAGCCTTCTCGATCTCCGACATTGTTCCTGTCGGCCATGTCAGCATCACTCAACCAGCGAGACGCCGTGAGGGCTGCCCACGTGAACAATAGATGAGCTTTCGCTTCTCGGGCATATGCTGCTGGTACGCAACAATGAGAGATAGCAGTGACACGGTCTTGCCGGTTCCTGACGGCATTTCCAGGACACAATGGCCACCCGCATCGAGGGTTTCTGTGACCTGTAAGTGGCTGATCACACAGGGTAGAATCTAGGTTATACTTTTCAGATCACACATGTAGCTGGTAGAGTTTGCCAATGGTCAGCTGGCATTAAAGGAAAAAAAAAACCCCCCCCCATACAAATCAACTCACGCATATTGTTCGTTGGGTATGTTAGCTAGGTATGTATACACAGCAAGGGCGTGCATGGGAGCGTTGGGAACATACCTGGATATATCCTTGGATAAGGAAATAACACAGGCAAATCACTAGTCACACATGAGCTTCAATACACGCATCGTGAGCTGGACGAGCGTACTCTATTTTAAATCTCATTTTGCACTAGAGCTCTGCGTGAAGCCGTGCAGCAGTCGAGGGAAGAAGCGCAGGTGAGCGATGGATGGATGGATCACGGCGTAGGAGCTTTCACGCTACCTTGTGCCTAATTAGTAAAGCTTTCAGAGTTGAGTTGCGTCGATTGGCGAGTCAAACGCACGCGCTGCGCAATAGCGCGGTATCTTAGGCAGGTAGAATTTAAAAGTGGAATTAAATACACCCGCCGACCGCGAGATGCACTAACACGTGATGGAAGGCAGCCCATCAAGGGAGCTGGGGCTCAGCAATGCAAAATAACAAATGCATATATTGCGCTCACCATTCATTGGAGCTATTTGATGCCATTTCATCCATTGGATAACATGGTTTGTGATTCCTTTCTCTCTCTTACGCCTGTAATTGTCTTATTTCTACTTGTATATACTTTAGTGTATTTTTTACAACATTACGCTTTAAATTAAAATGCACATTTACATAGCTCAAGGCTTATTTAGGATCTTGATTGCATCCTTTGAGAAGATATAGCTCGCTCCGCTCCAAATGGTAGTAGTAGCCACGATGTACCTAAAAGTCCTGTGAGCAAAAATGCAAGCAAAAGAGTGTTTGATGGGTGGTGGTTGATTCCTCAAGACTTACTGCATAATGGTGAGTGTCGGTGCTAAATCAACGCTCAAAATCGGCGCTGCGGTTGTCAGACCGACCAAGGCCAACTGAAGAAAGGTGTTGTATTTGCTGATTGTGGTAGGTCGAACTTCGGCTGATGGCAGTGAAAAGTCCCAGTATCGTGAAAACGTTTTAGGCGGCGGCAATGAAATCCAGCGAAAGTAAATGGCTGAAATAGCTAACCCAACATCCCTGCCGAGGATAATGCTAGCAACCCACACTGATAAAGGCCAGGCGTCAATCAAATAGTCCCAGTAAAGCCTCATGGATTTAGAATTCGCTTTTCACGTACCTGGCAATGCTCCCTTGACGGCCAGGCAAACCGTCAATATGGTCATGAGAATTTTATCCGCCATTGGATCAATAATCGTCCCTACAACTGTTCTGCGGTTCCATCTCCTCGCTATCCATCCGTCAACCAAATCTGAAAGGCCAGCGTATGCCAGCAAGCCTACAGCCCAGGTATTCGCATCTTGTAATATGAGGTATCCTATGACTGGGCTTGCAGCTATTCGTGTCACAGTAAGGAAATTCGGTATTGTGTATATGTCCTCGTGGATAGACGGAGCGGATTTCGGTTTCTCTGCTACCTCTTTATCTGTGTTGCTACTTGCTTGGTGGCGGAGTCGCTTGACAATGCGAGAATTGTACGGTACAGGCGAGCTACGAGAGAAGAGTTAACACGACAGTCGGTATTTCAAATGCAAATAGTAGGGGGCTGTATATCTAGGCATGAACACATGGTTCTTCTGCTTGGCACGTATATATACATGTAATAAGCTGGAGTTCCTTACATGTCTCTTTTCAGCGGATGGTTCCTTGAACCCACTGATGCTGTTGACCAGATACATCGCCTACACAAGGCAATTGGCCGTGCCGCAAGCCTCGAATGAAGCTGTATTGGCCTCAGAGTACGAGAGGGCAGCATGACGAGAAGCGTTATAGCATGTGCTCGTTGATTGTACCACCATCACGATGAAATTGTTGTGTATAGCCTGAGCCTGATTGTTTAAGCGCCGATATCGATAAGAAGCACCCGTAGTACGCTAGAGCCTTGAGTCTAGTACATTTTTGGATGAACATATTTAATTAATCTTTTTTCTTAAATCATAACTGCCCACTAAACATAAAATAACGTATGTACAAATTAAAAAAAGAAAAAAAAAACATACAACAGCCGGTGTTCGCCAGTGGTCACCCACCTGACTACTAATCTGCCGGTTAGTGGCTTGTCTATGGGGGAGCAGACGGGACCCCGAATTCTCCACTACCTATGGTCGTATGTGCTAGGAGCTACTTCATAACAGCCTTATAACAGAAGATGCTCAAGCGAACGCAATAGCCCATCATGCTTAATACCTCGCATGGAAACCTTTCCATGCCTAACTCCGAATGTGGTCTTATCATATGCGACGTGAACAATGAATTCTCAGTCGCTGGTCTAGATTGGATGAACTTGCGTAGGTTAACTCTAAATGGGTATATATATATGTATTTTTTTTTTCCTATGATATTTCGTGGATTGGGAAGTTGTCGTCAACGGACTTCTTAACCCGCCTTGCACTTAGAATCTCGGCCACCTTTTCGGCGGCGCCAATGCTCCTCGTTTGTCCGAGATGAGCCCAAGGGGCGTCCTGTCCTGCTTCAATCTCCTTCAGGGATTTCGACATCTCTGTTGGGCCAAACTCCCACACATTTGCCTTCATACCAATACCATAGAACTGATGTTTGCGTAGGTAGGCGAGCCAAAGCTGAACTGTTTCAGGATCGCCGTCTTTGATTTGAATCAAGCGCCTCAGCGTTACACGTTCAAAGTTCTCTTGTGACTTTTTGAAGATGAAGTGACTCCTAGGCACGGTCCATCGCTCTGTAATCCGTGGTAGTGTTACTGGGCCAGAGGCTGGGAGTCCTAGGTAGTATGCCGCTCGCAGCGCAAAGTCTGAGAAGAATTGGAGAGGTTGTAAGCTGAATGATCGCAGTTGTAGATCGCATGAGGGAACGCCGAATTGAGCCTCGCGTTTCAGCGGCTTGAGGTGAATCGCCTGGAGAGAGCGCGGGTGTCGCAGCTTCGGCTCGCTATCGCGGGCTTCTTTCTTGGCCTGGACAGAGTAATTTCTCGACAGAGGTTCGCTAATCAAGCACCTGAGCTTGTCAGCACCGCCGCAACGCTTCACAAATCGTCTTGAATAGACGGATACTTACCCCAATGCCGGGGTCTTTCTAGCAGCCCATGGCACAGCGGCCTGTAGTGCCAGAGTCAGCCAACGTCTCTTTCACGGCGCCCATGATTGTTCTCTGTACCTGGAGATGTGATAGGAGCTGCGGGCTCTGTCGTAACATGTTTGTTGCTGCTGTCGGCTCTGCAAATCGCAAGGCTGGCGATAGCGGATGCGGCAGCCGAAAAGAATCTGCTGCTGAAGTCCAATTGGAGTGGGGCAAAGCCTCAGCGGCAGACATCAGAGCATTCTAGCGGCGGGCTTAGCTACAAATGGCAATCTGTAGCTGCCGGGCTAACGACCAGCACGCGCATATTGAATGCTGCCAGTTCGACACGAATTCTCTAAAATACGTGTGTGATGACGCTGTTCGAGTCAGATTACCTGTAAAAAGAGTCATTGATTAGGTACCGAGTTCCAAATCCATCAAGTGTTTGTTTGTTGAATGTCTCTGCGTACCTAGCCTACCGTACCTTATCTACTTATCCAGGTACCTACTCGTGGGTGGCCGTGGTTTTAAACTTCAACCTACAATGGAATATTTCCACACTGGTCCAAGCTGCTAGCTTGCCGTGTATTCATTCATCCCTACATCAGCGCCACCACCAATATGATAAATCTCAATACTCCATGACCATGTCGTCCAGCCTGGGTATGGATGACTCAGTCGCCTTGTAAGTTTCCCAATGAGCTGGAGTGCCCTTGCGAGCCTTGCGAATGGCAAAATCACTAACCTTTAGCTCTACGACGGCTGCAGTGGCAATCCCTCCGATTCCGATTCGGATTTGGAGGAGCTTCAAGGCGATATTGCCAAGTTTGACCAGTCGGTAAGAGAATTCCTGGATTCTCACCAGGGTCGCTCAGAAGCGCCACTTCCGACGCGAGGAGTGATCAGAGGGCGTGGAGCTCGAGGCCCCCGTAAAGCTGCCAAACCTCGTGGAGATATCACGGCTCGATTGGCCAAAGTCAACCAAGCTTTTCTTGGTGGAGATTACGCAAAAGCCTTAGATCTGGTCTCTGAAGTAATTAGAATCAACGCCGAAACTCACCAAGCATGGACGGCACTGTCTTCCATCTTCCGCGAGCAGGGCGAGAATGCCAGGGCGCTGTCTGCCATGGTGTATGCCGCTCATCTTCGGCCCAAGAATGTTGCTGCATGGCTTGAGTGTGCGTCCTTCGCGCTGGATTCTCTATATGAAGACGAGGCGGGTAATCTTCACACTGCACGGCTGTGCTATTCTGCTGCCCTCAGGGCAGACCCCACGAATCTGGATGCTCGACTTGGCAAAGCCTCTGTATGCCATCGACAGGGCCATCTAGCAGCCGCAATATCGGAGTATAATATTGTCTTAAAACATCGTCCATATGACCTCGACATCGTGCGGAAGCTGGCAGAAGCCTGCATCGATAATAAAAATGCCGAGTCTGCTGTTCCTGCCGCTATCATGGCATACCGGCGCTACTTTGATTATGAGATGGGCAATTCTCCACTGTATGGCCCGGACGGTCCATGGCACGATATCGGGATTTATGTTGAGCTCATCGCCTCAACTGGCGGATTTGCCGAAGCTATTCACGAGCTCAAAGCATTATCAAGATGGCTTGTAGGCCGAGTCCAAGAGCAATATTGGGATCAGTGGCAGGTCGACGACTGTGAATGGGATGATGATGACGATCGTAGAAGTCGTGTACCCCATTTCCAGGGCTCCCTATTCAGCCCAGAACTCTATGGCCCCTCTCTTCCATTAGACCTCAGGGTCCGGCTGGCAATATATAGACTAAGGCTGGGAGAAGAAGATGAGGCTTTTGTAAGCAATAACTTCCCCGAAAGCAACGTAGTACACATACTCTAACCAGCAGCACCGACAGAGACATTTGACCTGGCTAGATCCAGATAATCCTCGCACTGCCGACTTTTTGACAGAATTCCCTTTCATCTCGTATGATCTTGCGAACGAACTCGCCAAATATGATCAGCCACAGAGAGCTATCAGGTATCTGGAACTGCTTCGCGCTACTACCGAAGAGCCTGATGCAGTTCTTTTGGTCCTGCTAGGCCGCTGCTATCTGGCCACCGGACTGCAATCCACTGCGGAAGAGTGTTTTCACGCGGCAATCGATGCCGAGGAGTACAACATTGACGCTCGTATTGAACTGGCCAACATGTATGAGAAGGCTAGGGAAGATGAAGAAGCTCTCATTCTTGCCGCGGAAGCAATGGCACTGAAAGAAGCTCAAGGACAACCAGCTCTCAATGAGCCCCTAACAAAAGAGCAGCTTCGCAAATTTTCAATGAAATCGGACCGTGGTTTGCGGGATGTGGGAGCTTCTCGAGCACGGACAGGGCCTCGACAGTCCAAGCCCAAATCTACCCAGACAGCTCGTATCCTACCCAGGAGGTATCGCGCAAAGCGGTTTGCAAACCCGGACAAGCGTCGTCAAGACGAGCGATCGCGCGCAATCAAACTCTCCCAGCAGTATGAACTTGTCCGTGGCCTCAAGCAACAGATCAAATCTGGTTCTAGCGATCTCATACCAGTCTGGATGGAATCTTGCAGGGATCTTGTCGACGATTTTCGATCACTTAAAAGATTCTATACATGGGACAAATATCTGCACTTTCTTGGAAAGAAGCAATTGCTGGAACAGGCCGCGAGCGAAGAAGCAAATACCGAGCTATCACAGATGTTTGAACGTCTCCAACGATGTATGTGCCATTCCTCTCCGTTCTGCTCTGCTTGCGATTGCTTTCGTTGCTAGCTATTTCTGACGATTAAATAACTTTCATAGCTCTTGCACCTCAAGGAGACGCTATACCCGGACCAGCTTTCGACAATCATCAAGGAATATCATTTGATGACTGGCTTGATTTGTTTCTCGATTACGCTATTGGCTTATCGCTTGTGCATCGCCGCGAAGAAGCATATCAAGTATGCGAATCCGCAAGGGACTCGACTGTATTTCAGTCACCCCAACACAACTTTGTCATCCACATGGCTTGGAGTGGTATGTATTATATTTTCCAACTATATTTGGCCGTATGAAGGCCGTGTTAACCGAAATAGTTTGTGCTATAAACACAAATGACGAAGAGAAGTGCATCACAATAGCTCGTCACTTGATGAGAGATGGTGGAATATCTGACTCGTCTCGTATGTTTGCATTGCTCTCCAAGTTATGCCAATCCCCAGTCTCCTGGTACACCTCTGGACCAGCCCAAAAATTCATCCTGAGACAGATAAAAGCCATAGATGTGAGCTACGAAGCCACGGCGAAGAGTGTCGCTGGAAAGCCGGACTTTGATCAAAATATAACGGCCGCGGCAAAGCTCAGCATGGACATATGTCTCTTGATGCTCTATGGCCATATTCTATTTACATCTACGAGCTATACTTACGCAATAGGTAAGTGTTTGAGAGCCAAGGCAAATCGCAGACAACGGGGAAGTAAATAACCGAGAAATAGGATACTTTTTGCGTGCTTGGTCACTAGACCATGACAACCCCATGGTCAATCTGAGTCTAGGTCTTGCATATGTCCATTATGGCCTGAAAAGGCAGTCGACCAACCGGCAATATTTGCTCTTACAGGGCCAGGCATTCATCGGCAACTATGTACAATCTGGAGGTGGTGAGCCACAACGGCAAGCAGAGCGATATTATAACGTGGGCAGGCTCTTTCAACTACTTGGAATCGGATATTTAAGCTTGCAGTACTACACACAAGCTTTGGAGGCAAACAAGGCAGCGGGCGGCAAGAAGCTCTTGAAGGATATTATCATGACGAACGAAATCATATCCTTACTATCTACTAACCACAAGGCCTTAGCGCATCAGCTTCTAGTGAAGAACATGAAGCTATAATAGTCCATATCTATCAATAGAAGATAAATGATGGCATTCACATTTCATTTTGCTCCTTCATTGTTTTTGTCCACGGACCACAAAGGTATTAGAAGGAATAGAAATAGATGTTCCTTCGTCGGTCTCGTGGGGTCTTCAGGGTGTTGCCATTCACAAGGGGTCACAAATTGGACATCGGGCGCCGACACCAGAAAGAGTGCACGTAACTTTGCAACATTCAAGACAGCCGACTGTCTATCTGTCTGGTGCTCATATTAAGAGGAAACTCAAATCGATATTTCAGCATATGGTGATGCATTTCCTATTAGCCGATGAGGCATCAATTCCTGCGCCAATCGCGTCTATTGCAAAGATCCCCTTTTTTTTCAACAGTTTGCTAATCGGAATACACTCATGCGGTCTCGCGCTTGCCCTCCTTGAGCTCCTTCTGTTGAAGTGGTTAGTATGCTGTCCGGATGCTGTCCCTGAGAAATGGGGAAATGTCGTACCAGAGCCTTCATGGTGCCGTGGAGAGCATGTCTGTGGTTTCGTCGGAACTTGGGGTCGGTTCCGTTGAGGGAAGGGTATCTGGAAGTCTTGGGCTTCTTGATACTGCATGGGAGTAAGCGAACGGAGCTCGTGTGAATTTTCCTAGAAATTGAAGACCAACCCGTTACGGTGAGCCTTGCGGCTCTGGTTGTGCTGGGACGAGTTCTTTGACTCTAAATTGCTCAAATATTAACATCCGTCGTGCGAAATACCGGGTTCGGGGGGCAGAAACTCACTGGCCATTGCTGCTGTGGTTGACGATGCTGTCCGATGTGATTTTGCAAGTCGAGATTCAGATCGTGCGGAAAATTGAGAGTGGTCCAGCCCTAGTGTGTGCGAGGAGGGGAATTACTGCGGGTAAGCGAGGGAGGTACCTTTTGTTAGGCTAAGGGGCTAGTGGCAGAACGAGTTCCCTCATACAGGCACTAGTACGAGGTACAAAGCCATAGCCCCAGTGTTTTGTCTCTCTCAGTCTCTCAGTCTCTCTCTTCTTTATATATGTATATAGTATATATTTGTATTCCTTAAAAAACCTAAAAGAGAGGTGGATTAAAAGAGGAGAGAAAAAAAAAAACTAATACTTCATTATCACCATTATTATCATGAGTATTATACTCTTAATGTCTGCATAGTATGAATTGTGCATTTCCTGCTGTTCTTAAATAGCAAATGTTTCAACTATTCGAATGCAAAGTACCTCCTTGCTAAAAAAAGGCAGCACGTGTACTTGTTGCCGCGGCTAGTAGTAATACTACTTCATAGTCCCTACATTGCCCAATGGGGTAAGCACAACTGGTATTATCGGCTAGTACCAAACAGCAGCGCTGTTAGCCATCCAAACTACGGCTTAATAGGTAGGCAGGCATGCCAGTAGGCACTTTAACCTGCTGACTGGCGTTGCTGGCCCGACAGCAAATCCGACGTGATTCAATCCCCTACTTTCGGCATCCTTAGTCGGTCGCCCGTGCCGTACTTCTCTTCTGCACGATCCTTCTTCCTCAGCCGGGTGTCTCATCCCCTTACGATCTCTCCCAGACAGCGGATCGGTAGCTGGATTGACTTGAATTGCGTTGCCTGCCTGGACGCAGACATCACGTTTTGGTTAACGACTACCTGTGCGTCTCCTCCTGTGAGCCTCACCTGATACTTACAGTCCAGCTCGGCCGCAAAGCCTCCTGAGCGGACTTTACACGAGGCCCGAATGCTAACGCGCGCGACATTTGCCAGAGGAACATGTTTTAACTCGTCATAATTTGCCTCGTTGCGGTCTGCGTCTTTTGCCAAACCGTCTCTGCTCAGCTGGATACTGCAGAAATTCGCCAACTGTTCTCCCGTCTTTAGCCCCTCTTCTCTTTTTTTTTCTTCCCCAACTACGCTGCTCTTCACCCCATTTTGACCTGGCCGAAGCATGCTCAATATGTCTGGGAGCCACGTCGCCGGAAATCGCAACAGCACCCCTGAAGTCAATGCCACTCCTTCTCTAAGACCGCCGTCCTCTCGGGCAGTTGGCTCTGGCAGCTCGCTGCGCGCGTCTGCCGACATGGCGGCCATCTCAGGGACCTCGTCGTCCAGCCGCATCAGGCCGTCGTCCGACTTCTACGGCCAGCCTCAGCAAGGCGGCCTTGGCCCTGCTGGCTTGGATATCGATTCTCAGGACAAGATCGCCCAGCAGTGGATTGCGGACATTGACCAGTATGAGACGACGCTGGAGGAGATGGCTGCCGCCACGCTCGACCAAGACTTCAAGGACGAGCTCAGCGCCATTGAGCAGTGGTTTCGAGTGTTGAGCGAGGCTGAGCGCACGGCCGCTCTGTATGCGTTGCTGCAACAGACCACTCAGGTCCAGATTCGCTTCTTCATCCAAGTCCTCCAGCAGATGGGCAAGAACCATCCCATGTCTGGCGTTTTGTCACCCGCGACTTTTGATAAAGGTATATTTTGCTCGCAGAATTGACTCGCGAAGTTTTCCAAACTAACGCTTCCGCAAGATCCGATGTCTAGTCGACTCAGCGATGCTATGAACAAGCTCAATGTCGACTCTGCTCGAAACTCGTTCGCTCGCAACTCAGCTGTCTCATCGACTAAGCGACACTCTGGCCTTGACGCTTCTACGATCAACGCCATGTTCCCGGATGCCGCCGCCGCTATTGCAACCGAAAAGGCGAAATTCACCCAGCAAACAGGGAACCCACCTTCGTCAAACCGCAACAGCCTAGCCATCGACCCACGAGCCGCGATGACAGGACCTAATATTGCAGCCGCCCCTCAGGAATCTAGGGACGCCAATGCTGCCCCGGCGGCATCACCGTGGGCTAGCGGCGGAGATGCAGCGTCAGCTTCTAAAGCAGGCTCGTCCCAAACTCCCATGGGCCAATTTGTACAGCCTCCAGCATCGGCGGGACTACGATCGCCAAGGCCGCAGCTGACTAGCAATTCCACTCTTCAAACGACCACCTTGACGGCCCGGGATAAGACTCCAGCTGATTTGCCTCTCCTATCCCCATATGCGAATGGAGGTGGCAGCTGGGCTTCTATGGTCAACACTCCCATGGCGCCGACATTCAACACCGGAAATTCTGCTGGTCAGGCTGATATGATTGCCAACGCGACTGCAATGAAGCTGGCCGCTCTTTCTACCGTTAACAATCGCTTCGCTCTCGATGACGTTCGCAAATATAGAAGGGCTAGATCTAACGATGCCCCCGGAAATGCACACAGCCAAATGCCGCCAACTCCCTCGCAAATCAATATCCCCAGTGCTAACGTGGTGATGATCAACGAACATGGGCAAGTCATGACTCGTGACCAACTAATGGCTCTCCAAGCTCAGCAGGGCCTCAGCTTTGGAGGACAGCGATCTCGTCCCAGCTCTCCTGGTCTACCTTTGCAGTCTGGGATGGGACCCATGTCTCATTTCACTTCGCCTCAACACAACGGCTTTCTTAGCGCATACGACGGCTCTGGATTGATGTCTGGCGGCATCCCACCTGTCGGCTTGGGACAGCTAGGAATCAATACTCATGAAGGCTACCTCTCAGACCACTCTGACATGGTCCGGGGCCGTTCACCGAGAGGAAGACGGGGAAGCTCCAAGCCGCCTGAAGATCCCACCGACCCTACTCTTCTTCAAGATATCCCCAGCTGGCTTCGTAGTCTGCGACTACACAAGTACACGGATAATCTGAAGGATATGAAGTGGACGGATCTGGTCGAATTAGACGACAAGGCCTTGGAAGACCGAGGCGTCAATGCTCTCGGAGCGCGACGCAAGATGCTCAAGGTCTTTGAACAAGTCAAAGGTGAGTGACTATTTCCCCCCCTTGAATCCCAACCCCTATTCCCCCCTGGTTGTTACGACATGATTCTGACAGAAATGATTAAATAGAAGCCAAAGCAGAAGGCAGACTAGGATAAGATTTAGTTGGTGTAATGCAGAATGACGGCATGAGCGCTGGCTGCTGATTAGGTTTGTATTAAGGAGTTATAATCACGAATTATATACTACGAAATGGTATGACGAGAAGAAGAATATGCTATCATCACAAGAAGATTTTAATATAAACATGATATATAAATTACATTATAACAAAAGTTTATACACTTTAGGATGGAGACTCGGAAATAGCATTACTGATCTTTTATTCATTTTTTTGCTAAACTTTTCAACCATGGGTAGCGTGTGTCAACTACATGAAAACTCCATTATTGTCCGGGTATCATTTCAAGATTAGGTCTTGGGCCTTTAGTTCCTCTGTCGTCGTTTGGCAACTACTGATTTGTAGAATGCCTTGCGTCCTTCTCTCTTCTTCTCCTGGATGGTGGAGTATTTGGACGCGAGCTTGTTGTCATTATGCACGGACATGACGCTCTCTAGTAGTGTTTGCTTTCTCTCCTTACGACCAAGTCTGGCGCTGTATGGGTCGGTTGGGCTGGCAATGACCTTGCCCACCTGCGAATATACAGGAGCGCTGGCTCGTAGTGTTTTTCTCTGCTGTTTAGGGTCTAGGACATTTCGCATGCGCAGAAGCTGCCAGTCTCTCTTGAACTCTGGCGTCATGTTGGTTTTGGGAAGATCAAACCAATCAGCCCCTGCTGTGTTCTGTTATAAACGTTAGCGATTAAAGTCCTTCTCCAAGCACGTTCCAAGAGGCTGGTATTGACCCGTTGGCAGTGGAATGCAAAAGATGGCTTGAGTCGCTTGGTATTCAGAGTAACTATGATGATAAAGGAAATCAGGAGCCACGGGACGATAGCCCAAGACGGACGTTGTCCCGTGTCATTGTGCCTTGCGGCTAACTTTCATCTTTATACCGGCAATCTCTTTTTGAAAGAGGCAATGGAGGATCAAGGGAAATGAGAAGAGAGAGAGTGTGTGTGTGATATAGTGGGAATATTATTTATTTTTTTCTTGCTTACCTTACCCTTCCGCTGTGCATCCATCTTTGGTTGTGGCACGCGGACTTGTGCCAGCTCTGGCGTGGGAGCTGCAGCCTGGACAACATCCTCTCCTACTGGCTTGGCCGCCGTCGAAGCTGTTGAAGCTTCCTCGGCGACTACACGACCACCGCTGAGACGCTGCTCGGCTTGCTGTAGGAGCTTCTGGATGTCATTATCGGCAAAATCAGCCATAATATGACCCGCGACAAGGAGATCAATTGCCGGCCTTGTGAGAAAGCGCTGGTTGGGAAAATTTTCGAGAGGCTGGCCCTTTTTGTAGAGAAAGCTGGTGATTTTTGGATATGCAAAGAAGTGGATATCCCATTACAAGAATTTTTTTCGGCCCCCACCGCCAGAAAAATACAAAAGTCGTTTATGTAATGCGAGGATTACGGCATGTGGGAATTTATGCAGCTATCCAGAAAGCGAGGGCAAGAATCGCCTAGCTGGTTCGGGTTAATGATGGCTGCCCAGCGAATAAGCTACCCAACCACTGCTCCAGTTGTGAAGCAGCTCTGACAACATCATCCAAGGTGCGGCCCCAAAATCAACAACGCGATTGCTGTTACACTGATAACGCCCGCTTGCTGCACCGGTGCAATTTGTGTTGATGCATGTGACTTGAGTCTCGCCGGCAAACGGGGACTTGTTTCTATATTCGCTTTTGTGTACGTATGTCCCGTGACGGCTTATCGATGCTGGTCTCTGATGCCGTCCAGTAGCTTGCCTTGCAGCACCGTCGCCAACCTCGCTGCTCATCGCCCACCCAGCCTCAAACAATGGAGTCGCAAAACCAGTCAGCGCCAACCCACCCGTCACATAACCGGCCGGCACCCGTATACGATCCCACACAAGGAGGACACTATGGTTAGTTTTGCTCCTGCTGAGCGTCCGCTGCGGAAAATGCTAATGCGCCCGCATAGGTGCCTGTGCTGCTGTTCGTATAGTTCAATGACCTGTTTGGCCACGCCGTCCTTGTTAACAACAGATACAGCTTGCCTCGCAAGGCTTTGCGCCGGCTGAGCTATACACCGGCCCCTGGGCTAATGTTTGTTCTCCTGTGTTATCTATGCGCGCTGCTACTCTGTGCTTCGGATAGCTGACAGCTGGGCTTCTAGGTTCACCAGGGACTCACAGGACAGTACAAGGATATTTTAACAACGTACTGGCAACAGACGATTAGCCACCTGGAAAGCGACACTCACGATTACAAAATCCATCAGCTGCCCCTTGCGCGTATCAAGAAGGTCATGAAGGCCGACCCAGAAGTCAAGATGATATCTGCGGAAGCGCCGATTCTATTTGCCAAGGGCTGTGACATATTCATTACGGAACTCACTATGCGAGCATGGATCCATGCAGAGGAGAACAAGCGCCGCACTCTGCAGCGCTCCGATATTGCCTCGGCACTTGCTAAATCCGACATGTTTGATTTCTTGATCGACATTGTCCCTAGAGAAGAAGCTACAGCACACGCCAAAAGAACCACCACCCAGCCATCCGCCGCGCAGCCGGTGCCCGGCGGGGGCCAAGCACCAATGCCCGGGCAGCACCCAGGCATGGCCCAGGCGGCCGGCCATCCGTCTGGCCACCCAATGGCTACTGCAGATTACATGGGCGCACATGCGCTCGGCTCTGAGCAGGATTACAGACAGACCGCCAACATGTATCCTGGTCAGGTTCCCCAGGGCCCTCCCGCTGCCGCTTATGGACAGACCCAGCCACAAACGGCCATATATGGTGAGATGGAGGGCATGTATCCATACTCAACAATGCAACCGCAACAGGTAAGTAAACTCCCGCCGCAACATAACCCTGCTAATACTCGATAGGCACCAATGCAGTCTGAAGAATTTGAATAGGTCTCGCTTTAGATTGCAAAGGGAGTTAACAAAAGCCAGCATGACACAGGTGTTTTGTCCTGGTCGGTTGCGACGTAACAAAATCGCTAGCTCAAGATACCTTTTGCCTACTCCCTCCCTGATAATGAGAGGAGTCTCCAGTTGGGCGAAATATCAGGCATATCTTGTGACCTGGAGACACATCTAAAAAACAATTTGCTTCATTTCATGATGGCGAAGCGAGACAGATTGGAAAGCGGCGCAGTTCTCGCCGAAGGTTGTGCGGTAGGAGTAAGCCTACACTATGTTAGCTCTTGTTTATTTTGGGTTTATTTTGTTTTCAAATGTACGGGTGATGACGTACTTCTCAAGTAGCATCGGCCCATTGAGGGGATCAACTCGGCCATATTTCTTGTTGCGGATTGAAATGTCATAGAATTCGTCATGATTATCGGACTGCATCAGATTCACAGTCTGCTGAAGTTCGTCAAGGTTTTCGCGTAGCATCTGTCCGTTTTCTAAGCTCCCAACAAAGTCGGTCAGATAGTTGACGTCTTGTGCCAAAGCCGAGACTCCATGACCGTTGATGTGTCGAACTTCGGATGAGAGGGGGAGGGCCTTTTTTTGGTCAGTCAATATAAGCTAAGTCATGCTTTTTTTTTTTTTTTTTTTTTTTTTTTAGGAAAAAAAAAAATTGATAGGCTGCTTACCAAAATCTTCTCGGCTGCGTGGCTCAGAGCATCAAAATAGATCAATTCTTTAATTTCCCTCGGCAGCCCCAGAAGCGTTGAGTTCATAATGTTGGATAGATATCGAGTAAGAGTTTGCATGTAGTTGCTTGGCTCCGTCGGCACTGCATTTGCCAACCTATATAAATGCCTTGATTAGCTCCTGTGATGAGTTCTATAAGCAAATCTCTTACCAGTCGTATTCTGCCGTATCGACAAGATCGTCAATTTTTGAGTTGACTAGCTCGAATATTCTTTTTTCGGCAGTCTTCTTGTTGTTACGGAACTCTTCAGTTGCACTCAATCTCAAAGGACCACCAGCCGAAGTGGAAGACCTTGCTCTGATCAACAGCTGTTCTAGCTCTCGGCACGCTATCTCAAAGTGTTCCAAGTTGATGAGAATCTGCACAATCTGTCCCAAATATTGAGAGCTAAGACGCTCAACGAGAGACTTGCAAACTTTCTCACTAAGAAGCTCATCTAAAGACTGTTTCATTGGTCAGTCAGTTACCTATTCCACTCGATTGAAGCATAAAGGAGAGAGCGTATAGACCTTTCGGAGTGTTTCATCGATAATATCTGAGTGCTGGAAGTGGTCATCGAGGAAGAAGTAGAACTGGTTCAGAAAGTTTCGGATATCGATACAGCAGAGGGGGTACATCTGAGAGAATGGTAGAACACATGGGAATCTGTGCATCATCGTCAGCATCTGCGCACCTTGGAGGAATAAGATGGGCTCACGTAAGTTCCTCCGTAGGTCGATCTGGTGTGAACCAGCTGACATTGATCACTTTCTCGTAGTCGCTCAGCGAGTTAATGGCCATTGGCATGTAGTCGTCGGTGGAAACAATCTATCAAGTATGTGATGTTGGAAAAATGGATTACTACTTGGAAAAAGAGGGAGAAGAAAGTAAACCTCCGTACTGACCTCTTGAAAGTCTTCACTGAATCGACGCTTCAGCAGCTGGGCATATTTATCGAAGAGCTGTAAGAGGAAATTATCAAGAGCAGAGACGGAGTATCCCCAACCCTAGACACAATCAGTGACTGCCAAATTAATATAGCTNTTTTTTTTTTTTTTTTTTTTTTCCCTCTCTCTTCTTTAATTTCGCTTTACACGGGTATATGCTTACTTCCATAGTTTGAATGAACATGGCGATAAAACCTTTAATTTTAAGTAATACTTCGGCATTATCGATATCTGTCAGGGCTTTCGCTGTGATTGTTATAGCTGCAGTGCACATGGAGTCCCATAGTTCTTCTACCTATGTTACTATGTTAGAACAAGATTGAACGCTTTGAAATTTTGAGCGTAGACTTACATCAACCACGGAGCGCAGATAGGGCACGCGCGCCATCGTTGCCTTTTCTATGATTGCGAACCCAGCTATTCCCTCGAGTAAGCTGCTAAGAGATGATTCATCCTCAGCTAGCAGATCAATTGAGGTTGGGATAAGAAGATCCTTTTGCTGACGCCTGGTAGAGGCGTATTCCGATCGAAACCGGTCACTATGTCCAAGAGCATCGTGGATATGCAGAGCTTCAAATAGTGGCGTAAAATCAACTTGTAACTCCTCATTATCCAGCACATCAAATTCTTCATTTTCATCTGAAATAAGCTCAATCGAGGAATTTAGTTTGAAATTTTCCAAGAATTTCTCATTTTCGATTCGCGCCCTCTGTCGCGACCTCCGCATCTCGGTATGATAGAACGCGACTTCTCCAAGAAATTGCGAGGTTTCACGGATCCGAAAAAGCCAGGTATTCAAGTCAGACATGACCGCTTCAGAAATCGCCCTTCGCGAGGCAGGGAGGGACTTCTGAATAACATCAGCTAAACGATGCTGGGTCGCGTACCGATTCTGAAGGATAGGGACAAGATGTTCATTCTGCAAGTCTTCCAGCGACTTCAGAGCAGAGTAGTACTTCTTTCGGCGTACAAGTTCGTGGGAGTGGTTGACAGCATGCAGCACTGTAAGAGACTCGCGGAGAGCATCGGTCGCGTCAGCAATGTTCTGGCGCACGGCCTTGGTGTTGACGAGGGCGCCTTTTTGCTCAGCAAGCTTCTCAGTGCTTGCTTGAATCGACTGGTTGAGCTTGAGAATCTCCGTCGTGAGAGTGACGGTCCCTTCGCGTACTTCCTGTAACCTGTGGACCGAGTCCAGAAACTCTTCGTGCTTCGTCAATCCGATTCGTTCGATGTCTGCTTCGCGGTCTTCGGAATAGCGAGATAGGGATTGCAGCAGAGCTGGCGTCCGCCGCGAGTTGGTAGCATCTTTAAGAACAGGTATGAGGTGGTCAAGATAATCAGAATCAGAGGTTGACAGGATGATCTGGCACTTGGTTAGGCTGGGCATATAAAGAGCAGTGTATGATGGAATCACGAACTTGAGGTACAGCAGACGTGTAGTCGTCTAGAGCACCGTGCCTACGAGGCATTGTTGCATAGTGGCCCCGGAGATACGCCTCTGTATTCCTGCAGGTCTGGAAATAGTTGGACAGGTAGAAGTGGACAAGATTTATCGATGGCGAGCGTGGGATGAAGATGCAGATGCTTTACTGCAGTGACAGACAAGCTATAGAGCTTCGGCGCTAAGTACCAGGCCTAGCAGTTCAAGGTGGGTTAAGGTGGCCTCAGGTGCCCCTTGCTAAATTCCCTTTGAAAGGCATCCCAAGATGTGTGTCGGTTTAGTTGAGTTTGTTTTAGAAGAATGCCAGGCTATTATCTAAATGGGCCCAGACATGCCATAGGCTTTGCTAGAGCTATACACTCCTCAGCGTGCGGCCTCTCCTATTGCAGTCCCTATTTCTCTAATCTATCCATATCAACAGCTTCATTGTGCACAGAGCTGCGCTGCCGCTATTAGCGCTTCATGCCTAGGTTAGTAGCTACAATACAGTACCAGGGATCCCACATCTTAGGGGGTCGCGCCGTGCTATCTGTACATGCTAGAGAGTACCCCGCGCTCTGCCTTCCAGTCCCTAATTCGACCATGGCCTCATCCATTTCCAACCAGCTCGCTCGTTCCGAAATCTCCAGGTCGCCGTCATGTCTGGAGATTCAAGCCTGGTAGGCTGCTTGGTTGAGCGGCTATCTAGCAGGGTGAGCACTAGACGTCCAGCCCGTGTAAACTTTAACGTTGCGAATGCCGGCTAATATATGTTTATACGTTATTGCGCTACGCATAGCTACCGCACGTCACCGGAACGAGCAGCCCAAATCCCCTGGAGGATGAAGTACTACATATAACGAGGTCAACCCTCGTTGACCTCAGCAAGGCATCCATCGACACGATTCTCGAGTCGCTGGTGGCACTACTCGAAGATCTCGCGCGTCCCTACCATGTCATCTCGGAACACCCGAGCCTGGTGTTGTCGTCGGAGCTCTTCGTTCTGGGCCTCGCAGCAGACTGCTGCTCTGCCCATTGGGCCGCACAACCCAATTCTCGCAACAGTGGCACAGCTTTGCCGTCTGCTACGCTGGGCGAGAGACTTGTTGTTCGAATCTTCGATGCGCTCAAGGATCTGCTAGAACCGATATCCGACAATTATATGCTCTCGGCGCAAGCACTCCTGGATCAAAGCCCGGAACCTGGTGCCAGCTTGACTTTCTCGGCCAGTGGAACGCCACAAGATACCCATTACGATGCGGCCGACACCGAAAAACCCCTTGCTTTGTACTTTAAAGAGGTCGAAACTCATGTTAAAGTACTCGTGGGATATGTCACAGCATCCAGCTGGTCCCATTCATTTAGCTACCTCAAAAATGTGATATACAACGTCCGCGTTTCTGCGGCGGCGGATATAACCGCAGAAACCGGAATCTCTCAAGAGTCGGAGAGAGGCTCGCTCATCATTGTGCAGCTTGTTTCCTCTTTCTGGGTTGATAGTGCCAGGCTTGGCTTTATCATACAGGAGTTTTGTTCGAGCTATCTTCACTTTCGAAAGTCATATCAAAATGCTGTCGCTGCTGCCATACCATTATTAATATCTCGATGGATTGATCGGTATCCGCAAGAATTTACACACCTCCACCGCCTCCATAGGCGGCTTGATGGAGGCGCAGACACCCTTTTTGATATGACACAAACCGTGACTGACGCTAGACGCAAAACGCTTCTATTTCCTCTTCAAACGACTCTCCTTTTCCTTATGCCTGATGTTTTTGAGGTCGCTAGTAACATGAGAGAGGTCAGGGGCGGCAATATCATGAAGAAAGTGTCGTTTCTCGATGGATTGCGTAAAGCTATGAAGAATGGAAATGAGCAAGCAGGATACTGTGTTATCTCTTTGCTCCGTGCTGCTCGCCATTTTAATGCAGAGAGCGACTCTGCCCTTGTCAGTTATGCAATGGATGTGCAGGATGAAGTACGGGATGCCGTGTTTCGCCATTCTGCTACAAATTCGCTCTCAGCCCAGTTTGACCACAATATGATCACTGCCGCTTTCATTACTTTGGCACATCTAAACTTGGACGTGTGCATTGACACTGTCCTTGATACGTGTATCTCACCTTCGTCGCCATATAGGTTCAAAGTTGCGGTCATACAAGCATGCTGTCATCTTGCG